GCACAGATCTCTTGGTGTGTAAAACACACCAACCATAAAAGAAAAAAGCTGGTAAACTGAACACAAATTTAAAACATCTGCTGTTCTAAAGATACGTAAGAAAATGAAAAGGCAAGCCATAAACTGAGAGAAAATATTCACAATACAAATCTCTGATAAAGAGATTATCAGAGATAATCCAGAGTGTATATTTATCCAGATTGTATATTTTTAAAACAACTCTACAGTAACAGAAGACAAATTTTAAAGGGGGCAAAAGATTTAAATAAACATATCACAAAGAAAGATATACCAATGGCCAATAAGCACATGCAAAGGTACTTAACATCTACAGTCATCAGAAAAACGCAAATTAAAACCACAATGAGATACCATTATATACCAACTAGAATGGCTAAAAATAAAGACTGGTGCTGACGGGTGTGTGCAAACAGTTTGGAAGACCGTTTGGAAATTTCTTATAAAGGTAAGCATACATTTAAATATGACCCAAGAATTTTACTCCCCACAAAAATAAAAATTCATGTCCACATAAAGACTGTTACATAAATAAATGTTAATAGCAGGTTTGTTCATAAAAGCCAAAAAGTAGGAACTCAAATGTCCATCGACAGATGAATAGATAAACAAATTGTGATATATTCTTACAACGAAATACCACATAGGAAGAAAAGGGAAAAAAAGACTATTTCATACATACAACAAATATGGATGAATCATAAAAACATCATGCTAAGCAAAAGAAGCCGGATACAAATGATAGTATACACTGTACGATTCCAACAGAGAACAGGAAAAATTAAACCATAGCAACAAAAAGCAGAATAGTAATTGTGTAGGGGTGAAGTGGGGAAGAGGGGTGGAACAACTGCAAAGAGAAATGAAAAACTTTATGGGGTAATGGAAATGATCTATCCTTAATTAAGGTAATGGTTACATGACTACATATATTCATTTGTCAAAACTCAATGAACTATATATTTAAAATTAGTGCATCCTATTTTATGTAAATTTTACCTCAAAAAAGTTTATTTTTAACATTAAAAATGCGTTACCCCTCAATTCTAGTGATTTCTAAATACTAAACACTATTTGAATTCACAAATTCACTACTTCCACAAAGCAGTAAGTTGTAACGGGAGCAGAAGAGAACCCATTAAAACTCAACCTTTTCGATGTTGCTTCCTTCAAGTAATTAGGAAAACTATAAAATAGGATAGGTATAAACATATAAAATCAAGTAAAAAAGCATTCTTTATAGATTTCTAGCACATAATTAAATAAATCAGAGAACCTCAAAACAGGATAAGAGCAGTATTTTACAGGAATCTTTTAAATCCATATATATATATATGTGTGTGTATGTGTGTATATATATATACACACATATATATAAAATAAAATAATAATACACATATATGTGTATACACACACACACATATATATAAAATAAAATAAATATGCAAATCTCCACACCACACCCCAGCTAAAAAATCAGTTACAAGTACTTTTATGTTTTTTCTGTTTTTTTTTTGAGACAAAGTCTCATTCTCTTTCCTGGGCTAGAGTGCTGTGGCATCTAGCTCACAGCAACCTCAAACTCCTGGGCTTGAGCGATCCTACTGCCTCAGCCTCCCGAGTAGCTGGGACTACAGGCATGCACCACCATGCCTGGCTAATTTTTTCTATATATTTTTAGTTGTCCAGCCAATTTCTTTCTATTTTTAGTAGAGATGGGGGTCTCGCTCTTGCTCAGGCTGATCTCAAACTCCTGACCTTGAGCGATCCACCCGCCTCGGCCTCCCAGAGTGCTAGGATTACAGGTGTGAGCCACCGCGCCTGGCCACAAGTACTTTTATGTTAATAAATTCCTATCATTAACATAAATAAATGATCTTTAAGAGGATCAACCCCCATTTATGTTTAAGTTTTGTTTTAACAGACAAGGAAATTACTTTTGGATGGGGAAGGAAGAGAGAAGGGAAATTTTAAAAGAGCGGGGCTTCTTGTTATAGATAGCTTCAGCAGAGGAGAGACAAGAAATCCTTAAGAAATAAATCATGTCCTCTTATAAGCATTTCCTAAATATTCAGACTAGGGTTAGGTGCCCCTCTTACAGACTCCTACCATACCCTCTGTTTATTCCTATCCTAACATTATCAGTCACATTAATTTGCATTTATTTTTATCCCCTCATTAAATTTTATGCTCCAAGGGTGCAGAGGCTGTACCTTGTTTACAATCTTACCTCAGAGTTTTGCATTTATTCTGACACAGAAGGACATTTTTAAAAACTGCTAATAAATTAATGAAATTCAGAAAAGTAGAAGAATCTAGAGATGAATAGAAGCTCAGAAAGGGAGGTAACCAAGGAGAAAAAAATACCATCATGTATAGTCAATTTTATTCATATGCCTAGGGTCCTGACAAATTGGATTAGGACAATATACTAGTATTACCTATGAAAACTGCAAATCTGTTTTCTCCAGTTCATAAAAGTTTCAGCCTGATAGCCTTCCCTTTTAATTCTACATCAAAAATAGACGAAGAACAAAGGATAAAGAGGAAAAGAACACGTCCTATTCATTTTTCTCTTCTCCCCGATTCCGCTATATTATCCACATTTATCATTCTAAGTTTACCTGCTAATCTGAGATGCTGACATACTCTAACATGGAAGAACTACCAGACCAATATAAAAAGAAAACAAACCTCACACATACAGTCAATTCAGAATCTAAAAAATTCAAACTAATAAAGCTATTCTGTCCTGTCAATTTGTGCTGTCTACATACATTCAGATCTGTGGTAACAATTAACTGAAAACTAAGCCATCTTACCATTCAAAATTCAGAAATCTAGTCTCTCAAATGTTCAAATCTATTATCCTCCCTCTTATTCAAAATCACATGAAATGTTTTTCCTTCTTCTTCAGAGAAATGTTCTACTTGTAGACCAGAAGCTGTTTTAACGTACTAGAGGATTAAATTCCAACCTCTATAACATTGAAGGCATCAATACTGGCTAAATTATCATATCTTTGGAATTTCTTTTTTGACCAAAAAAAAAAAAAAACCCTACTTCTTTTGTTTTAGCAAATTTGCACTGAACATGTGTCTATACTAGTTATTTAACACTGGAGGCTGTAGGTGCTGTAAAGAATACAAACTACTAGGAGGCAGAGCTGGGAGGATAGCTGGAGGTCAGGAGTTCGAGAGCAAGAGCGAGATCTCATCTCTTCTAAAAAAAATAGAAAGAAATTAGCCAAACAACTAAAAATATATAGAAAAAATTAGCTGGGCATGGTGGCGCATGCTGTAGTCCTAGCTACTCGGGAGGCTGAGGCAGAAGGATTGCTTGAGCCCAGGAGTTTGAAGTTGCTATGAGCGAGGCTGATGCCACGGCACTCTAGTCTGGGCAACAGAGCGAGACTTTGTCTCCAAAAAAAAAAACTACCAGGAGTCTGCTCTCGAAGAACATAAAATCTTAGCAGGGAAGGTCAATAGTGAAACAAATAGAGAAAGAATGACAATGTCTAAGAATCAGAGTATGGTACACATAATAGGCGCTATATGTTGTGGAAGAAGGAAAAGAGAAAAATGGACTCCTAACTCCAAAATAGACACATTCAAATTTAATTTAAAAAAATAGCTTTCATCATTTTTACCCTTGCTGGTTTGACAACACATATAAGTCCATGGTTTTGTTGCTAAATCCCTTATTATCTGGTAATAATTATGATTATTAATCATAATTACAA